TATATTTTATTTCATATTTTCATACAATCTACACTAGCTGTATTTTTTCAACTTTTTTCCAACCGTCTACGAAATCTGTATTTTATTTTCTATTGTAAAACCATCTCTATTAGCCATGTTTTTTGCCTCTTTTCCAACCGTCTATGCAATCTGTATTTTATTTTCTTTTTCCCTCCCGTCTCCACCAGCCGCATTTTATTTTCTTTTTTTCCAACCATCTCCACTAGCCATATTTTATTTTCTTCTTTTCAACTGCCTCCATTAGCCGTATTTTATTTTCTATATATTCCAACAGCTGTATTTTATTTATAGCTTATTTTCCATCCGTACCCACTAGTCATGTTTTATTTTGTATTTTCCAACAGTCTAAACTAGCTGTATTTTTTTTTCTCTTTTCCAATCGTCTACACAATCTTTATTTTATTTTTTATTGTCCAATCCTCTTCACTGGCAGTATTTTAGTTTCTATTTTCAAAATGTCTGAACTAGGTGTACTCTATTTTCTGTTTTACAACAGTCTAAACTAGATGTATTTTATTCTCTTTTCCAACCAACTCCATTACCCGCAGTTTATTTTCTATTTTCAACCAACTCAATAGGCTGTAATTTATTTTCTATTTTCCAACATTCTAAACCATCTGTATTTTCTTTTCTATTTTTAAAACACTAGCCGTACATTTAAAAAAATTCCAACTGTCTCTACTAGCTGTATTTTATTTTCTAATTTTGAACCGTCTATTCAATCTGTATTTTATTTCCTATTTTCCAACAGTCAAAGCAATCTGTTTTTAACTTCCTATTTTCCAACTGTCCAAGCAATCTGTATTTTATTTCCTATTTTTCAACTGTCCAAGCAATCTGTATTTTCTTTTCTTTTTCCCAGTCGTCTGCTCTAGATATGTCGATGTAGCAGTATCATTTTTTCTATTTTCCGACAGGTTACCTTAGCTGTATTTTATTTCCTATTTTCCAACTGTCCAAGCAATCTGTATTTTATTTTCTATTTTCCAACTGTCTCCACTACCTATATTTTATTATATATTTTTAAACCGTTTATGCAATCTTTATTTTATTTTCTATTTTCCAACCGTCTTCACTAACAGTATTTTTTCCCAGCCGTCTCCACTAGCTGTATTTTCTTTTCTTTTTTCAAACTGTCTCCATACTAGCTATATTTTATTTTCTATTTTCTAACAATCTACAATAGCTATTATTATGTTTTCCCTCTTTTCCAACAGTCTCCACTAGCTGTATTTTAATGTCTATTTTCCAATTGTCTTCGCTAACCCTATTTTATTTTCTATTTTTCCTCTGTCTCCACTAGCCGTGTTTTAATTTTTTATTTTCCAACTGTCCCCAATAGCTGTGTTTTATTTTCTGTTTACCAACCGTCTAAACAATCCGTATTTTTTTCTTCTATTTTTCAACAATCTCC